TGTTCATCAACCGTGAATTGTCACTTTTTTATTACGGGACGCTCTAAATATATGTGTATGTATGTACAATGTTGCATATACTATACAGAATGTCTGACAATTCAAGGCAAAACACTCGCGTGCAGGTAGAATAGATCAAGTTGGACAGAAAAATCATCTACTATTTTGCAAATATCACAATAATTATTAAGAATGTTATTAAGGAATGTAATTAAACAATGTTAGCACATATGTGCACAAGAAGTATTAGGACGAATTCTGTAAACGAGGTCTTATCCAAGATGGTTAAGGAGGTGCAGATTAACTGCCTACCTCCACTGTTCAGCATCATGAGCCGTCTGTTGTCAAGAGACAGTCTCTCTCTACACTATAGATTCACTGCTAAAGGTTCACTGCAATACTTAGTGCACAGGCACGAAAGGAAAGAAACGGATAACTAAAATCCTAAATTTCTTTCTAGTAAATTTTGATCGATCCACGTTTTTCTATGATCCTCGTTGCAAATCTCAGCATCACTAGCACTAGTAAACTCCAGTTATTAATTTTAGTATATTCTTAGAACTTATTGTCACATCTTTGCGCTTAATGTGTCCTTAAACGCAGGCAGACAATGTTTTCAGCTCGAAAAGAAAAGGACTGGTTATATTTTTCACTTTTTCTTATCCCTTTTCTCTTCCATTTGAGTAAATCTCCCACATAATATATTTGTAACACAGACCTGGAAAATCAAGAAAATCTGGAAAAGTCATAGAAATTTTAATTAGTCAAGGAAAATCTGAAAAATCCAAGGAAATAATATAAAAAATCGAGAAAATCAGAAAAAATATGATGTGGAGTTTTGGACTTTACTCACAGTCGCGCCTTCAGATTCAAAACCACGCTGAGAAAATATTAGCAGGCTCAATCGCGTAAGTTTATTGGCTACGCGTCACTATCTTCATTCGTTCACTTCTTAATAAAATAAATAATCAAAATTTATATTCCATTCAGTATTTTTACTCAATTGCCTTTTCTCTCATAATCGCTTTCTTTTTTCCAATATTTATCTATTTTTGTTGACTTGAATTTGCATTTAAGATGTTATTTTGTTATTAAACTTCTTCAAGTTTTTATTGCTTTTAATAATATAAGCTACTTTTCCTGCAATTCCTGTTTCTAAACGTCAAAATCTAAGATATCGGTCATAAAAAATTCTCGATTGTCGTCTGGAAAACATAGAAGATCAGGAAATTTTAATAATTTATTTTCTGTAACATTTTCTGTGAGTACAGAGTTCATTTAGCAGGAAATCGTCAACAGATGTTAACCATTTTAAATGCAGCCTTGCATATAGAGCTCTTCTTATTTCCCGTATACTCACTCGTTGATATAGTTTTAATTAATTCTTCAAAAAATTTATTTGTTGTGAAATTTATAAAATGTAGAAGACTTTTCTGTGTTCACACAGTTTGGCACGGTCTATCTGCACACGATCGTTACGTCATTAATAATTGTCAGACACCCTGTATAAGTAGGGATACCATGCTGTAGCGCGCGGTGCACCTCGATTATGCGGCTACAATGAATTATCGTGCGCGTGCTTCTTGCGAAAGAGACATTGTGACATACCTCGGGCAAAAGCCAGGGGTTGCGGAATTAAACTCCGTGTACATTCTTGCGTGCGATGTAGGCGAAACAAACGGGAGAAAGGATTTAATCATTGCCGGTATATATACGCGACGATGGTGTGTATACGTTCTTCTTGTCCAACACGATATTAATGCCAATCATAGCGCACTTCGGTTTTGCGGGATTTTATTACATAGGGTGAGTCACCAGAGTTTTGCGCCCCTACCTACTTATCTATACCTTCCTACTTATCTACCTACCATCTACTTACTTGCCCAAGATGCGTTACCTACCTGAGGCAGCCCCTATAATATTTACAAACAAGAGCTATTATATGTCCATTCTATAGCATCAAACAGCATTTAACAGCGCCATATACCTCAAAGCTGTAAAACGATCGTGTATATATGTGTGTGTTCTCGGATCTTTATCAATTTCCGATCTTTGTTCTGTCACCGCGGTGAAACCGCGATAGACTATGATATTTTCCTGTATCGACACGGATCAGTGCATAACCGTGCGTTTATTCTTTACCGAAATTCGTGTGAAATAAAATTCGATCATTCGCCGCGCGTCGTTTTACGAAGGAGAACGCTGCTCATCGGAACAGCGTCCACTGCTGCGGTTAGCTCGTCTCCTTTAAAAATAGCCCGAAGGTCCTGCATACGAAAAACAATCGATACCCGCGATCCCGCCGTTTAAACCGTTTCTGGGGCGACGTCTCATTTAGCGCAGTGGCTGGTTATACTCCACGACCCGACGTGTGGGACATCACGCGTCGTCCGCGTGGCACAATGTGTGTGACTATCTCGAGAACGTTGCGCGCGTCAGCTGATTCAGTTCAGCCGTATGAATGAATGAGCAGCTTGCCAACCGTGATCGTTCTCATCAATCATGCCTCGGCATCTCCGCTCGTGAGGGAAGAAACAGATACCGATGTTGCTGATGGCGCGATGATGCCCACCTCGCTCAGCGCGATAACGCGAGAAACGATCGTTTCGCGGGAACCTGTCTTCTTTCTCTCTATCTCCTACCTCCTCTTGCTCTCTCTCTTTCTCTCTCGTCGCTCAACGACAAATTAACAATGTGCATCTCTCTCTCAAACTGAAGAAACACGCTTCCTTGGGTGGATACACTTCGGATTCGGCCGAAGCTTTCATTTGATTAATTCGCGTCACCGCGAGAAGCACGCGACCCGACCGCGGCGAACAAGTCCTAGGGGGTTTCGACTCGCAGTTGGCACACGTGCGCAGGTGGAGTGTGGTTTTTGCTGGGCAGTGGTGTGCTGATGGTAGAGCGGCGGCGGCGGTAGCAACGGTGGCGGTGGTGGTGGTTTTTTGCGCCAACCGCGAGGTCTCTAGTGGCTTTTTCCTTCTTTTCTTTGGTACCCACCCGTGCCACGGCTGGGACGGACAGAGACGGACGAGGCGCGTGAGACTGAAAGGGGGCAGAAGGGCGGGAGGAGAGTAGGGGAACAAGAGGAGCACGACACCCTGTGTAGCTCCGCGTATCGGAGGAGAGCGTAACGCCGCCGCGTCGCGAAAAAAGATAGGCACAGGGAGCGAGGAGGGGGCTAGTGGGGAAGTACGGGGGGAGAGAGGGGATGGGAGAGAAGAGAGAAAGAGCAATCGGATCGCGCGCTCCTTCCAGCTGGCCTGGCACGGCGAAGGAGGCCTTGTCGCGCGGCTGCACGTTCGGTCAATGTCTTCTCTTTCTTCCTCGCTCTCTCCCTCCCCACCTCTTTCATCGCCCCTCACTCCCTCTCTCCCTCTCTCTGTCCATGCCGTCCTGCCTTCGTTCCCCTGTCCGCGCCGATCCTATGTCGTTTCTTCTCTCTCTCTATCTTTCTCGTTTCCTCGCGTCGCCCCTCCCCCTCCCCGCGCACTCTTTCATCGCTCTCCCCACCAACGGCAGCACTCCCGTGCTGCATCGCGCACACGAGACACGGGTGCCTGCTGCGAAATCCCTCTGTCATCTTGCGAACGCCCGTCCGCGGCTAGGATTATCCCACGCCGTGCGTTCGCGAGAGATCAGTTCGCCGCGCTCGCGATTCGTCGTCGTCGTCGGCGGAGGAGAGTCGTACGGCGCGAGATCGGCGATACCGGGGTATCGCCGGTATCTCTCCGCTCGCGACCACAGAAAAAAGGAGAGAGAAGAGAAAGAGAGCGCGCAGAGTGCGTTCGGAAATATGTGCACTGGCATCGCGGCTGCTTAAAGGCGCCGACGGAGAAGGAGGCGTTCACTCACCGCCGCCGACCGCGTACAGCTTTTTCCGCCGGCCGCGCGCAACAGCGTGAAAGTTTCGCTTCGTCCGTCCATTCGTTTGCTCGTTCGTTGCGGACTCACCTCCTCCTCCTGCTCCTCCGGTCCGCCGTCTCGGTTGCTGCCACTGCACGTCGTCGAACATCGCCTACTTCGTCGCTGCGGTCGTCAGCTATTTTTCGCGAAGGAACGCGCACCGTCCCTTCGTCGGCTCGCCGCGCCAGTGTGTGTTTACAGCATACGTGTCAAGTGCGTTCTTGTTCGGTGCGTGCGCGATACGAGCGAGAGATCTCGACCGTGGAATCCGGGGAGAGAGCATGGCGCTCGGCGACGACGTAGTCGGTGTCATCGTCACCGTGCATTAGAGTAGAATCGCGCGGGCGCGAAGAATGAAACTCGACACCCGCGGATTCGCGAGCGAGATACCAGCGACTTCGGGAAATTCGATAGCGCCGACGCTTCGCACTTGTGTCGCGAGCGCAGGTGGGTATACGCTCTTTCGCGTATATATACTCGTAGACGTTCGTTCGGGACATGGTCGATGTCAAAACAGCGCTCTTTAAATGCGATAAGAAACCGATAAGTGACGCCGATTTCTGGTATAGGTCAACAAGGTACAAGTATCGATGTCTGGACACGTACTTAAATCTGAACATTCTCATTGTTTTGGCTTTTAAATATGAATACTTGAACTTTCGGCATGCAATATATATATATATTTTTTCAATGCATGTACATATATTGAATATATATACTTTATTATTTATATGTATCTATGTTCAACATAGAATTCCATGTTGAAAGTTTAAAAATATTCGTATTTATATAAAGATCAAAACAATAAGAATGTTTAGAATTAAGTATATGTCTAGATATTTATATTTTTGCCTTATTTTTTTTTTTATGATGGGAACAATGATGTGATATTTGGAATAAAGATTTTCACAGAATAGAAAATTGTGATGGTGAACACAGTTGTTGCAGCTGCAAATTATTATATACATGTGTGTCCTTAATGTCTCTTATACACAGTGTGAACTAAACACTAGAATTGATAACATGAGACTTGTGTGTATAAAATGTATCTGTGAAGCGTGTGTCTCATTCTCTGTTTCTTCTTCTGTTTGCAGAGTGCAATAAAGTTAGCCGGTAAAAATAAGAAACTGCACACATTGCTATCGATAGTGGAGGAGAAGCCAAAGGTGGATACAGGACAGAACAACAGGCATAGCGAGCACCACATCAAAAACAATTTCAAGCACAACCATTACACGCATAATTCCATACTGACACCCTCGACGCTAAACCAGGTAACAGTGATCTCAGTTTGTGCCTCAAATGGATGGTTGATGTCAAGCAATGAGGAACAGTGCATAGCAATAATGTCTTGGTTTCATTTCACAGGGCCTAGATGCAGGTACAAGCGACGATAGTGGCAGAGCGTCTGAACAATTGCATGGCCCTGGTATACCTAGGGATAGCCAGGACGCAGACAGTTCCAGGGACCATCTCAGCGATGTAAGTTCCTGTGTTGATTTGTGCAATTGTGTCGAGAACTTTGCTCATTTTGGGCTATGACGAGTAGTCATGAATTATATGAAATATTTATGTGATAATAGAAATATGAGAAATAGTTTTTTAGATCCTCGAATCTTTGTAAAAAGCAGTTGTGATCTTTTAAAGATATCACACTATTCGTTCAGTAGCTTGTCGTCAGAGCTATCAAAGTTGAAAAACATGTCACTAACACTTTCAGAAAGTATCTGTATGTCCTCAACAAGATATTTAACATATTTTAGATCTTAGATAGATAGAAATAAGTGACATGGCTTGGATACAGCAACCCACAATACTTATACCATTATTCTTACAAATGCAAAATAAATATTCTTTGACAGCAACTTTCCCTTTACCTTCTCCTACAATGTAAACATAATACTGTAAACATAATTTCATTAACATGGCTAGACTGTATTGTGTAGCTTTTAAAAATTATTGTATATTGTTGTTATCATTCTCACCACGAGAAGATGTCTTATATGCAAAAATAAATTTTAGAATGGAGGAAGGCTGAAAAGACAAATCTAGAAATAATCTTCAACTGTAGATTAAAAACCCATTAGTTGATTGAAAGCATCCTGCAAAAGAGCATAGGCAAAATGAATATATATCACATTGATAAGATCCTAACTAGTGTTTCAACCATTGGCAGTTATAAGATTTGAATTTTCTCTTCCTATTCATGTCCTATAATTCTATATATGACTCATCTTTATACCCATAGCCCAAAATCTATATAAAAATGGACAAAGTTCCTTTGGAATCAAGTATAACCAAAGGCATTATGTTGTTTGCAAGAATGCAGAATATATTTGATATTCCAATGGGCAGATAATTTTTTAGAGTAAAAAATAACGCTAACACTACAAAGTAAATTAGTTATTTATAGACCTCTACTAACCAATATGCTTTTGTATTATAGGCTAGCAGTCATTGCAGTTCGGGTAAAGGTTATATCGTAAGTATCTTCTATTGAATCCACAACAATTTAAAGAATTTTACATTGATTTGAATATTATAATTGTGATAAGCATGATATTAACCAGATTATTGTTATTTCTTTGTTTCAGTGTGATAGTGAAGGAGAAGACGATAAGGTTCGTACATCTCGAGATATCTTGTTACGCCATATAAAAACGAATAATCGATTACCTCTAATAATTTGATTTTTATGTAACAGGGCTCGGATGCCGAATCGATACTCTTTGAATCTTCTACCCCACCACCTCTACGTAAATGTGAGTGATGATTTTAAAAATAGAATACGACCGATTGCACAAAAGTTCAAACGAACAGCAGTTTGTTTTCCGAAAACATTAATATTATTATCATTATTTGCGCACGAGATAACCCGCTTATCTTGTAATGACAAGTTCTTTTTTTTGTTTCTTATTAGACGAGTTGCCGTCTTCTTCGCCACACGTTTTGCCACCAAACGGAGCAGGCGGATCTCCACCGGATACGGGTGGACAAATTTCTAACCCAGCAACGGATGCTCCGGCACCTATACCACCTCCTGTGTCTGCGTCTGCACCAGTTCCAACAGCGCCGAGTCCTCCCAGCCCCACGTTGCCTCCACACATATCCCAACCACCTGTAAGTGACCCTTACGTCGCAAAAAGTCACTCTACTCCTTGCGCATACATGCATACACCACGTAGGTGGGGATTAACGCTCGTTGATAATATACTGTTTCAGATGACTAGTCCCTTGGCAGCGAACCCACGTGCAATAGCTCCGCAGCAGCGGCCAGCTTCCCCCGCCCTGTCACCACCCTCTTTGTCCCAGCAACCGCATACTACGATACCTGCGTTGCATCCACCTAATGTGCCCCTCGTCTCGTCGAGTCATACAACTAGTCCAGCGGTAGCCAGTCTAGGTGTCACTCCGGCAGCACCATCGAACGGAGCAGCTACCACGAGTTATCCGCCACCCATTCCTATAGCCGCGTATCCGCAAACACAGCCGTCGTATCCGCCGCTCTACACCCCCTACACCGCTTTAAATCACAGCCCGTACCTTCCCCCGGCGGTACCATCCCCTTCACATTCTGCTTCGTCACGCGCGGACGTGGTAAGTTACTTGCTTATCGCATTGACATTGTCGTTGACGCGCCCAATTACGCTCGTTTTTGCGAGCGACACTAGCGAGAGTGATAATTGCGTTTCAGAGAGGAAGTAGAGCTTCTCCTTGTACCAATATAAGCAAACAGACCATAGGGAACAATCTTACCGGTCACAATAATACTCCGTTGAGCGCTGCCACTACAACATGTGTATCTACCATAACTAACACAGTTACCACGGCGAATTCTATCGCTCATCGAGACATGGTGGCCTGCAGTCTGTCTGGACGAAACAACAACTCGCCGCGTGGACACAGTCCTAATCGGGAGAGAGATAGTTATAGGTATCCCAATCATCTCATCTTCCGATAGCCGGATTCTATGTGATTAGCAGCGAGTCTTTATATTGTAATGCCTATTACAGTAGCACCGTGAGCAGCCTAAGCCGGGGCAGCATAACGCCTGTTAGTGTGCCAAACACCTCCTCTCCAGCTAATTCTAGTCTACCTGCGTATACCAAGCCACAAGGTTGGATTAGGTACGAAGCCAGCATATGTGTGACTTTGCTCGACATCTGAAAATGGCGCTTTAAAAATAATGAAGAATATTTTTTAATGTTGAAAAAAAATACAGCAGCAACACAGCTTCCCAGTTATCTCCGGCGACGGCTACGTCTGTTCCGAGGCCGACTCCGCCACCAGTACCACTCAGCATACACTCGTTCCCGCCGCCGATGTTTGCAGCACCATTGCCACCACCCGTGTCCAGTTCCAGTCCGCACACAACAACACTGCCTTCGCTTCCACCACCAACGACCAATCCCAATCCGTTTTCCGCGGAATCACTTTTCCAGACAAGTAAGTCTATATCTCTCTTTCTCTCTTCTGCTACTTTACTAATCTATTTGTATATGAACAGATAATAAATGCGCTAATCAAAAGAAGGAGTGACGCATGTTGCAGGTCAGGCGGATATTCTCAGGAGAGAACTCGATAACAGATTCTTGGCGTCCCAGGACAGAAATGTCGGAGTTAGTAATTTGGGTCCACCAGCGTATCTTCGCACAGAGATGCATCATCATCAGCATCAGCACACGCACGTGCATCAACACACGACGCCATTGTTGCCTGCGGCTGCAGCGACGTCTCTTTTTCCTCCTCCAATTGTAAGGAGCAATTTAATTATTATCTTGTTGTTTGAAGTATATCGAGTGCTACCCTTAGCATGCATATGTGACACAAACTAGATCATAATCTTCTCTTTCTTTATAGTTTAAGGACATCCCGAAGCTGGGAGGAGTCGAATCGCAATTTTTTCGTGCGAACTTAAACCTCTCGGGTTATTCGGGTTTCAACACTGGCCTTCTTCATCCTGGAATTCCACCGTCAACGCCTTTTGTGCAACCTAATCATCTAACTACATTTGCGCCAAAGGTATATTTGCGCACGAAGATAATAATTCTAGTATTTGTTTTTTTTCTTTCATCTTTAAACGATCGATATTTTCTTACTGCAGAAAAGTGGAAAATGGAATGCGATGCACGTACGTATTGCGTGGGAAATATATCACCATCAGCAGAAGCAACAGGCTGAAGCTAAAGCAGGAAGTGTCGTTAGTACCAAAACTGAGTTATTAAGACCACCAGGCCATCTTTATGCAGGGGGACCAGGCGGTGGTCTTGGACTTGGAGCACCAACAATGGCACCTCCATTCCCCACTAACATGCCACCCACTCATCCTGCACCACCTCCACCTCATCCCGTTGGTTTTCTGTCTACACCAGCCTCACATTTAGGTAATAGAGGTAACAGAGTTTCACATTTATTCACATATGCACGTTCATGTTCCTTTGATCGAACGGACTGCATTATAATGTCTGCACCAACGTGCATCAGAATGTCAATTATGATTTGGTATTGCAGGAACAGGAATATCGCCGTTCGCGAGGTATTCCTCGGCGACATTCGGCACAAATCCCAATTTCCCGGGCCTTTCTACTTTCCCGCCAAGAGAAATGCCACCTTTAAGTGGACTCGGTGCAGTACACGACCCATGGCGAGGGTATGTAGAATCATTAATTATATGTTAAATATGTAGAATTGTTATCGCATTTTATTTTTTATAAACAGAATGTCGAAAAAAATTACTGCAAAACTTCAAAAGCACATAGCACTCATAAAAACAAAATCTGAATAAAATAAATAAAAAATTTGTTTCGAAGTTATAAAACATTTTTATCAGTAAAATAATATCTTAATCTACATATTCAAAATATGTCTTTCGTTTATTTCAACACACATTTCGGTACTTTTCCTCATAGAAATCACACGTTTAAAGATTCTCAATTTTTCTCTTATTTTTTGATAATAGTTTTTAATTCGGTATCTCAATTTATCGAATGAAATAATTGGTGTACTATATACTATACCTTTTTAAATATTTGCACAAATAAAAATCCAACAGATTGAAATCTAGTAGACAAAGCAACAATTCTACAGACATTTCAATCCACTCTCCATGAAACTTAGTTTCAATTTACTTCCCATGAAACAAAAATATTTTAAAAATAAAAACATCTAATAACTTTGAAAAAATCACTTGGATATCATGTTTTTAAGTGTCTTGATGAATATACTATATACATATTCCTAAAGTTTGATGACAACTTTCTTCAGCAAGTAGCAAATATGATTTTCTTCACCGATGTCGAATCTGACAAGCAACTTGATAAAAAAATAAAATTTCCTTCGATCTTTGGTTCCGACTTCTGTTTCTTTAGCAAATAGAAATCCAGTAATGAATATACATCAACGATTTTAGATTGCAACGGGCTACTACCGGATTTCCTCCGCCGACTACTGTTTCGTGGGGCCTGAAACCGGAACCTCCAGCGATAGACAGACGCGCTGAACTGGAGGAACGGGAACGTGAGCGCGAACGCGAGAGAGAACGCGAACGTGAGCGCGAGCGCGAACGAGAACGGGAGCGTATCAGACGTGAACGTGAGCGGGAGAGAGAAGAGCAACGCGAAAGAGAAAGGAGGGAACGCGAGAAGGAGGAGAAAAGGAAACAGCAAGAAGCCGCTGAGCGGGAGCGAGAAAGGCGAGATAAGGAGCGCCGTGAGATGGAGAGACGCGAGATGGAACGCGAGAGATTGCTTCATCAAAACCGACAACTCGTACCCCGAGAACGCTCGCCACTTAGGAACGGCTCGACACCTTTGGACACCGGAGAAGTGCGCGTGAAAGAAGAGCCACGCAGTAAAGACGACGAAGTTGTAATGCTTCCGAGACCACCAGGACCCGGGCCTGGTACGGCGGGTACCGCGCCGGGACCTGGACCGAATCCACTGCCTGATCCGAGATACCACCATTCACACCCGCATGCTTATCTTACCAGGCATCCGCACAGTATGCCAACTTCGCATTCCATACCGCGTAGCATGCTACCTTTGAGCGCTCATTCGATGCAACACTTCCCGCCGCCATCCGCACCCACTGGTCAACCGGGACCACCTTGGCCGGGCGATCCCTTTAGGGATTATCGATACGATCCGCTTCAGCAGTTACGGTACAACCCGTTGATGGCGGCGTTCCGCGCGGAAGAGGAAGAAAGAGCGAAGCTCTACGCTGCTGGCTATCCTCCCGCGCCCGTAAACTCGCTTAGGAGTAAGGACCCCAGTCCAAATCCTCTCAGCAACCTGCACATGCATCATAGAGCGGGACCTGGTCCAGGAGTGCCGGCGCGTCAGCTGGAGAACGCCCTCATGCATGCGGATATCCACAAGAAAGAGGACGCGTCGCAGTCCCGATGATACATCCTACCCGCCGCGTCCTCGGTTTCGACGAGCGAACGCACCGACGGACCGACATTCTGAGCACCATCCTCCTTGTTACCCACAGCCCTACCTTTCTCCTTCCCTCAGTAACGCTCAGAACCCGGTGCTGATATTTTGCTAACAGAGATGAAGCATTATTTAAAAGAAGAAATTGTATATAGATATTATGTAATATTTATAGTTATCGAGGATAAAAACACTACGCGTAGGACTTCTACGGAAACGAGACGTGTATAACGAAGATGCCTTGATTAAACGACGCTGGTATTCCATCGGTACCAGCGGTTTACTAATGACAATGGGTTCACGAAGTAACTACGGAGGCATCGTTGATGATGTATCACAAATAATAACACTGAGGGTTATGTGATTTTCTGCAGTTTCGGTGATCTGACTGTCTATAGTGGTAACGAACTCTAATTATTACGATAATATAACTATGCGTATAGTTAAAAAAAAAGAAAGGTATCGTGTGTAATATTATAGTTACTGTAGAATGCGAGGCGAGATGGCTAAGATGTGTAAAAGAAGAAAAAAAAACAAATTCAGGTTAGGCGAAAAAGAGTTAAGTGTGGATCTCTATCATTATTCGAAAATTTATTTAATTATTTTATTTATTTATTGCGACATATATTATAATAAACATGAATCTCTACTACGGGCGCATGGAAGCTGTCGTAAAAGAGCTCTAATTTAATTGATGTAATATAAAAAGAAAGATTGCATGTAAAAAAATTTCACTTAGATTTTAATTTGTATATTAGATACTATAGAAAAAAAATGGAGAGGAAGGAGAGGGCATACGTGAAAAAAGTGTCTTTGGCTTTCGGCAGCACATGCTTCTTTCATTTGCATGCTGGCTACAGCAGCACTCCGGTGCTTTCCTGTGATACAAAAAAAAAAGAAATTGATTCAGAAGTAGCGAATTAATTAATTTCGTATCGTAAAATCATGACAGAGTTAATTAATAGGTGCAAATAAAGAAATCAAACTATCCCGAAAAAAAACAAGTAACGACGATTAGGATATCCTTTTTCGGAAAAAAAAAAAAAAAACAGGATGACGCTTAATATGACAGCAGTTTGTCCGTGCCAAAGTGCTTCAATCAAATTATTCCGTACAATGTGCACAGACAAACAGTCTTAACATTTATTGGATATAAAGTCACTAGAATTTTTCAATTACAAGCGTTGTGTTTATATACAACATTCATACATCATGATTGTCAAGGAAATAGGAACGATATTCAAATAGATGACATTTTTAATGTAAAATTATATACAAGATATAGGAAGTATCGTTGCTGTTTCCTTGAATAATCAATCAGTAATAACATTTATATAAATTTGTCTGTGCGTACGCGTTAATAAATTCGAAATCTATTTTTCTTCCTTTTTTCATTTTGTATTGTCATCTTATGTAAAAATTTATATAAATTTTGTTTTTTTTTTTTTTAAACCATCCTCTCGATTCTCAGCCATATGCGTCGTTGTGTTACCAGAGAGCCAATGTGAGATCTCTCAAAAAAATGTGTGCCATGGACCAGGTTACATTCGATATCCCTGGTGCCTCAAAGGAAAAACTGGACTTTTCAGAATGATCAGGTTCCCATGCTGTTTTGTTTATACTATAAAATTATGGTAAAGCTGTATATTATATAATTAACGACTATACGCAATTTAAAAATTGTAGATATTTTTCATCGATGCAAAGTTGCAATGTGATGCAATGATTCTGTTCTTGTAGATATCATGAAGTATAAAAGAAGATTTTGTGTGAATAGGTTTTTTCTAAAATTGATTCTTTGTAAAAGGTGATATAATAATCATAGTTTCTATCAATCTTGTTGTTTCAGTATCTTCACCAATCCAAAACTATATACAAATACACGAGTGATACTCGTCCTAAAAAGAGAAAGGGAAAAATGCCGTAAAACCATTGCAAACTAGCCAATAAAGCATTATCTCTTTTAAATTTCATTGATTCAATTTTTTATTTAGATTGTCAATATTCCCATGTAACATTGTGAATAATATTTGTCATTTTCAAGAGTTATATTTAAAACTGCTGGGTACTCACATCGTTCAATTCTTTCTAATAACATCAAAAGCGAGGAAACTTATGCTAAAAATTCTTACGAAATATATTGAAATAAAAAAATATATCCGTAAGATAACATTTACAATCGATCGAGCAAATTTATAAAATAGTCCGAACACTTCTCTTTTGCTATAATCAATTTTTGCTAATCAATAATTTGCCACTGATTATCGTAACATGCAATACATCTTTTTAACTTATTTTTCACATGATTCTATCACGTTTATTTATGGTAAGTTATTGATTATTAGAGCAAAAGGAAAGTATCTGGACTATTTTACAGATTTACGATCGATTGCAAGTGTCGCTTTACCAATATATTTTTTCATTTTAATGTATTTTACAAGAATTTTAACATGCTTTTCCTCGCTTCTAATGTCATGAAAGAGATAGACGATGCGAGTACCAAACAGTCTTAATTTGTTAATATTTGAAGCTCTTGTTTGTTCGCCGCAGCTGTTTTGATTTGTGACATCAGAAGAGCAAGAAAATATATGCTCAAAATTCTTGCAAATACGTTAAAATAAAATACATTCACAAAATGACACAATCGATCTGTAAAATTCTTTTCTTTTTCGAGCTAGTAATAGTCATAAAATTAATGTGACAAAATCATAAAAAGAAGTTAAAAAGGAGGGTTATATTTTATTAATTATACAGTTATTGGGTGTGCAGCAGAGAAAGCTACTTTGTAACTGTTGTAAAATTTGTCAATTTTATTTTAATCTTTGTTGTATATAATAGCATGCACCAATCAGTTCAAATTTTACAACATTTGCAAAGCAGTTTTCTTTGCAGGCATTTATTGATTGTTTGAACAAAAGAAAAGTGCTCGGAATATTTTACAAATCTGCTCGATCAATTGCAAGTGTTATTTTATGGATACATATTTTTATTTCAATGTATTTTGCAAAAATGTTTTGTATTTATTTTCTCGCTTCTGACATCATCAATTTAGGGTTCCGCAGCAAAAAACCAGGAGCCTTAATCAAAAAGTTGTACAAAAAGTTCGACCTACTATCTCATAATTAAATTTTAGCACATTTTAGCAGTCTTGAATAATTTGTTAGTAACTTGAAAAATTAATTTTCTATCGCGTGCGATATTCTCCATACATCTTACGGCAGTGAAAGATACCTTATAACAATATATTTTCTTTTTGTAAAAAGTCATCGATCACGAAATGCTGTATCATTAAGAAATCTTCTATAATGCGGTCGCAGTTTTAAGGTCATAGCACTAGTCTGTAAATCGATCAAATATCTATTTCTTTCGCGCAATCTCGTGAGAAGCAAAGTTATATTCACGAGTACGATAAAATTTTTTCATTTTTCATGAGTTGTCGCAAAGGAAATAAATACATGATCAATTTAGACAGATTAATGCTACTTTAAAACATAACTGCCAGTGTATCGTAGACAATTTTTAAGTCTCGTGAAATTATATTTTTCAAGTACTTATCAACTTGTAAATAATTTCATTTGTATTGACAAGAACATAAAAAATATTGATGTTTATTAACGAAACCATAGTCATATTCCTGTGCAAATACATATCGACTATTTAGACAAAATTATTATGTTTTCTTCACATAGACATGTAAACAAGGAGGCGATTGGGAGGAGGAGATATTTCAGAATATAATAAGAATTACAAAATTAAATTCTAAGGACGGTACTTATCGTCAGATTTTGTATTTAAGATCCGATTATAAGGAAGAAAACACCGTTTTTCGAATTTTTTTTTTTTTTTTTGTAATTCTCACTATTCCGAAATGTACGATCGACCTCCAATTGATGCATGATGATCACATGCAATCGTTATATTCAATGTCTCTTATTTACAAAGCAACTAACACATTATCGCGAGCTGCTCGAGCTGGATCTCGTGTAACGGCGGTGTCGATGACGTGGATTCCCTTGTGGACTTCGCGATCGTGTCCTTATTCTGCGTCGAGGTGGTCGAGGACTTCTGCGACGATTCATTGGCGGTGAACGTCTGCGATAACGTGGCGGTGTGTTCCTGCCACCACCCATCCATCGTGGAGGCGCGCGTCTACCCATACCAGGTGACATACGTCGCATCGGCAATGGTCGCGGTTTCGGCAATAATACTGGCGCGGCTGTGATTTCCTGGCCGTCTATTTGCCCTGTGTAAAATTCATCGACACGTTAGTAAGTCGAGATTATTAAGGCTCCCTGCTAGTCAAGCGAAAAGTCCATGTTGACGGTGGCGATACAGCTATCAGTGATAGGAATAAAAACTTCGTTCATCGTATATATAAGCGAATTATATATATATATATATATATATCGGATGGAAAAATTTAGGTGGCTGTTACATACATACACATACACACACACACACACACATATATATATATATATATATATATATATATATATATATATGTATGTGTATGTAACAGCCACCTAAATTTTTCCATCCGAATCATGGCGTTATTACTGACTGTAGTGTTTACATATCACATAACATAATTGCGGAAGTGTGAATATTGTCCGGATACTGTGCTTTTTAGAATATTTTAAGTATAATAGTATTTATTTTATCATATTCCGCACCGAGTCTTACAGCTGATCTTCTGTCAAGATAAACCGATTTCCACACGTATATTTTGCAGTGTTGTAAAAATTATTTAAGTGTATAGGATCCATTGCAAGTGTCATTTTGTTAATCTTTTTATCTAGCAATGATTCGGACGCAAATTAGGTGTGCAATTTCTCGCTTCTGACATCAACCAATATGGCCACAGTGACTAGCCAGGAGCCTTAAAACAATTCAAGATATTGATATAAAGCGCACTTACCGCCGTCCATGTGTTTCATGGCATTTTCAGCCTCGTCCGCAGTCTCGAATTCAACATAGGCGAATCCCCTTCCCTGATTCGGATGAAGTTTGTCCATCGTGAAGTCCACCATTTTTATTTGGCCGTACGCCGAAAATATTTCTGTGACGTGCTCCTTCGTGACGTTTCGTGTTAAATGCCCGATATGTATTTTTGTCGGTCTAGGAATTGGCGAGCGCTCTCTGCGCTTTCTACGCGGAGAAGGAGATCTGCAAAATTTTGTTAATGGTCACCATTATTGGCGGAAAATTAAGTATCGTTTATTAATATGTTCTGTATCGCATTAATTTTATAGTTTTTGCATATTGCCCCTCTTTAATAATAATTAGCAATTTTATAAATATATTTTATAAGACACAAAACGTGTTAATACAGAAAAGTTAGCAAGATTGTTCCAGTAACTTGAAAAGATCAAGAATTACAAGCTTACAAATGGATATAATGAATACCTAGAACGTCCTTTGGGTTTGGGTTTGTCAGGAACAGAATTGCTACCCTTTTTCTTTTCCTTCTCTCTGTCTCGTTCTCTGTCTCTATCTCTATCCCGCTCCCTTTCTCTTTCTTTATCTCTTTCCTTTTCTTTGTTTTCATGTCTTCTGGATGCATCAACACTTTTGCTACGACTACGTTTTCGTCCCCTGTCTCTGGAACTACCCGAAGAGCTACCTGAACTGGTAGACGAACTACTGGAAGTGGAGCTTGATCTGGAACTACTTCCACTGCTAGAACTTGATGATCCGGAACTGCTGTCTGATGTACTATAAAGCAAATATTTCACTCATATATATAAAATCTTGTACATATATACTGTGTGTATACAAGATATCTGATTAAAACGCACCAACGTATATGTGTTTAAACTGAGCTAAAAAAACTCATCATTTTTTAAACAATAACAAAATTTCGAGATATTAATGTAAGAAGTTTAACGCATCAGTGCGCGCGATGCTATAGGACGAGTTCTGTAGACACAATCTCATCAAAAATTGTCAAGACACATGCGTTAGTGCGTCTTGTGTTAAACAACCTGTATATATATTATGATTTTAATGATCTCCATTAAACAAAAAATTTGTAATACAATATTATAGAATATTATTACAACAATATTATAGAATATTATTACAACAATATTATAGAATATTATTACAACAATATTATAGAATATTATTACAACAATATTATAGAATATTATTACAACAATATTATAGAATATTATTACAACAATATTATAGAATATTATTACAACAATATTATAGAATATTATTACAACAATATTATAGAATATTATTACAACAATATTATAGAATATTATTACAACAATATTATAGAATATTATTACAACAATATTATAGAATATTATTACAACAATATTATAGAATATTATTACAACAATATTATAGAATATTATTACAACAATATTATAGAATATTATTACAACAATATTATAGAATATTATTACAACAATATTATAGAATATTATTACAACAATATTATAGAATATTATTACAACAATATTATAGAATATTATTACAACAATATTATAGAATATTATTACAACAATATTATAGAATATTATTACAACAATATTATAGAATATTATTACAACAATATTATAGAATATTATTACAACAATATTATAGAATATTATTACAACAATATTATAGAATATTATTACAACAATATTATAGAATATTATTACAACAATATTATAGAATATTATTACAACAATATTATAGAATATTATTACAACAATATTATAGAATATTATTACAACAATATTATAGAATATTATTACAACAATATTATAGAATATTATTACAACAATATTATAGAATATTATTACAACAATATTCAACAGTGTATAAAAGCTGGTTTACACCAGCAGTAACACTGTCAATACTGTGTGTTTCTAATAATGTTATTAACAATTTTAGATTGTTCAATCAAATTCATTCAAAATTGCTGAAAACAAATGTTTCCAATAAGTTATAAAACAATTTATATTTTGCAATTAACTTTGTTATTATAGAATAAAAAATATTAATAACATTTTCAACATTTTGCAGAAAACAAGTTTATTGACAACAGTTATTTATGTTGGTAATATACTGATAGCTTAATCACCAACATTGAAAAATATTATTTCTGCAATTCATCAGTGGTAGTATAGATAAAAGTATGTCAAAAGCAAATGTTATTAACAGAAAAATTAAACTAGATATATGTTAGCAACATTGTTCATAACAAAATTTTTACCTTGATTGTACTATAAAAATTATATTTGTATATAGCATATTTTTTAATATAAGTTAACCAATCAAAGTTCTTCAACTTTGTCGAAAATATTTTAGATTTTTTGCTAATAACCTTACTATTAGCAATTTTATAATAAAAATAAGTAGCAAAAAATAAACTTTCTAACTTATTCAGTGGCATTTGTATATTTCACATTATTAAAAGTATATTTTGTTAGAAACATTTAGTGAGGTTTAGTTCCATTTTTAACCAATTATAACTTTAATCAGAATTTAACTTATTAAAGACCCATGCAAGATAAACTTGCACAATCATATTATCCATATACACAAGGAAATTGACTAATCTCATGTAAAATATGTCTGATATAAAAGGCATCTTTTTACTATACAGATCATGAGTGATAAATTTCCTTATAAATATACAATATGTGATCATGCAAATTTGCTTGGAACTTTAACGAGTTAAATTTCAGTTAAAGTAAGTTGTGAAACTAGATTTAAATTGTTTTCTGGAAAATAGTTTTGTTAAAAATATTTTTATTATTAGTTTTTGCTAGTAACATTGTTGCTATTACTTTTTCAATTGCAAACCAGCCTTAATATTTAAAATATTAAACTAAAATGTTTAAAATACACATAAAATCAATAAAATATTTCAAAATATTGTTGTAAATGTTCTTTGTTTACTAGACATCTCAATTATATTTGTATAAGTCAATATAGGAAAATATAGTAAAGAAGAATCTTTCACTTTTTAATATAATGTATCATTCTATGATTATATTTTTTTCAAACAATGCACCAATGCACTTGCACTTTTTTCTATCTTGAATTAAGTTAGAATCACACAATTCATGACTTCATGCCTTCTATTATGACATTGTCACATAGGCAACTCAATTTACTACATTTATTATCTAGTACACAATAATGATTCATGCAATGAACTGAATCGTCTAAAGCATGTTGATTAACATTTCAGAAAATATGAAATCGTACATTCTAGTTTTAAAAAAACTATAACCTAGCTACTCAATTATTAAAATCATCTTGTATACGTGTGTGTGTATGTGTGTGTGTGTGTAGGGGGGGATAAAAATGTGTAAATACAATATAGTAAGACATTTATCGAAAATAAAATCTAATTTATATTTTTATTCACTCACCTGCTGCCACTGCTAGATGAAGAAGCCGCTCTCTTTTTGCGTTCCCGTTCTCTACCTCTTTCCTTCTTGTTTTCCTTATCTGTAGCTTCAGAATCGCTTTTGCCCGTACTATCCTTGCGGCTTCGAGCCCTGAAAACATAAGCAGCGGCAGAGGCAAAACGTGAAAAATTGAAGCGACATTTAAACGACTGACGTTAATGATGCGACAAAGAAATGACTTACATAATTAGCAACGACTAGATTTACTAGACGGCTCTCAAATAGTACTTAAAAACTGTTAAGATAAATCGATGAGGAAACTACACGCCGCACACAACGCCTATAATGGCGGATTGCCGGGATACGAAGCCGCGCGACAGCACTCCTAGCGGCGCATGGTAAACCACTTGCACATGTACTGAATTACACTGGTTGCAAAACAATTTACAATCAAGAAATTATATATTATGCAGCGTGCTACGATATCATTCTTAGGATAAACACACTTGACGCTTGTAAAAACTTACATCGATCCATGAAAAATCATCTAATTACCATAAATTACATGGTAGGATATTATCAAGACTATGTCTAACAAAGCTTTTGCACTAAGCAACTTTCGCACTACAGCTTAAGGGTCTCACACACAAATTGACATAACAGAGTAGCGATTCAGAATGAGATACGCATATGAAAATCCTATAGTTCACGTTACATATACTGTAATTTATATATGAAGCCCTAAGGTTGATATTACATGTGTCGTACGACAAACTTTTGTCGACGTTCATTGGTTGACGAATAGAGAACCTAGAAATACTCTATTTGCTAACCAATAAACATATCCAAAAAGCTTGTTGTACGACACATGAAATATCAACTTAAGACTGAGTTCCCACTTAGCGCGTCACGCGTCGCGTCGTGCAAATTAAGCCAATCAAATCGTCCCATTTTATTCGGCGTAAAGTTACGCAATAAAATGGGACGATTTAATTGGCTTAACTCGACGACGCGACGCGTGACGCGCTAATGGCTCTTGCACACAGGACGCGGTAATGCTTGCCACGCAGCGAAAGTTCGCGCGACAGCCAATCAATATGCTGCTTTCCGTATTAACCTTCTAGCTCTTACGGAAAAACAACATATTGATTAGCTGTTGCACAGACTTCCGCCGCGCGGTAAGCATTACCGCGTTCTGTGTGCAAGAACCATAAGTGGAAACGCACCCTTATTGCTTCTGCACACAGGACGCAGTAATGTTGCCGCGCGGCGAAAGTCTACGCGACAACCAATCAATATGTTGTTTTTCCGTAGGAGCTAGAAGGTTAATACGGAAAGCAGCATATTGATTGGCTGTCGCACGAACTTCCGCCGCGCGGCAAGCATTACCACGTCCTGTGTGCAAGAGCCATTAGGCCTGTTCTACAATAATCGTATGTCGCTATCGTTGTCGGATGCAGCCAATGAGCCAATTAGAGGATTTGTTTTTCGAGACGAGTTTTTTCCTTCTTTCCTTCCTTCCTTTCTTCCTTCCTTCAGTATATGGTTACGGGGATTCTTAAGAGCTGCGTTTCAAAACTCTACTCGACGGGTACAGTACATTTAATTGTCCAATCATGATAAAGAAATCTTAGTTATCTTTGCTCTTATTGATCAATTAAATGCTATTCTACCCGTCGAGTAGAGTTTTGAAACGTAGCCAGGAGATATATCCCCCCAACACCATTTCAAGTTAATATGAAAATAAAGTTTAATATTTAACAAGGTATATTTAAAAGAATTTTAACAAGAATTAAAGACTAGGGAGATTCCAAGGCACGTTCCAAAAATCCAAACTTGTCCGAACACATCTAATCGTAACGGCGACTAGGCCGAAACTTTGAGACGAGTTCTCCTTATGTGTCGGTCTATAACCTGGCTTTAAACTTTAAGGGCTATCGCACACAAATTGACATAACTGCATATGCATAGCATAAGATTGTATGGACCAATGAGCATCGAATATTAAGCATCGAACACCAATATGGCGACTTAATACTCGATGCTTATTGGTACATACGGTCTTATGCTATGCATATGCAGTTATGTTAATTTGTGTGCGATAGCCCTAAGGGCCTGAGCATAGACTTTTGCATAACGCATAATGTATAACACATAAGGAAATCAGTCAATCAGAGTCATTCATTTCTATCCTGTAAAGGGAAATAAAGGTCTCTGATTAGTTGATTCTCTTATGCATTATGCGTTATGCAAAAGTCTATGCTCCCAGCCTAGGAGGTAATGTTTGGTATATTATCTGTGGTCACACATTAATTTTTTTTTATATATAATTTTTAATATAAATTATATATAATTTTTTTATATATAAAAAAATTAATGTGACTACAGATAATATGTCAAATATTACCTCAGTAATAACAATATTTAATATAAACAATTGAATTGAATTATAAATTATATAAGATAAATTTTAAATAAATTCTATCGTCAATACATATCACAGTTCAATTATTTGAAATTATTTTATATGTGGCTACTTCAAGCTTCTATGCCATTCCTTGATGTTTCCATTTGCGGCATGAGACGAATAAGAGTAAAAGGAGTAGCCATTGAATATATTAGTTGTAGATGGGAACATATACTACTTTCTCCGGATCCAGATCTCACTCGCTCCGAACTCACTATCGTAAGCACTCCAGATCTCATTCGCTCTACTCTCGTTATCGTGGGTGTTTCCGATAATACCTCTCCGAGTCATTTCCCTAGAGCAGAAATAAGTTACAGACATCACCATCTACTACTATTATGTGATTCATGACAACCCAAAGCTACTTATGGCTCCTGCACACAAGACGCGGTAATGCTTGCCGCGCGGCGGAAGTTCGCGCAACAGCCAATCAATATGTTATTTCTCCGTAAGAACTAAAAGGTTATTACGGAAAGCAGCGTATTGATTGGCTATCGCGCGAACTTTTGCCGCGCTGCAACCATTACCGCGTCCTGTGTGCAGGAGCCATTAATGCTGTCTATCGACTGCATGCAATGGGTTAGGCAGAACAATACCGTGACAAATACACGAGATAATAATTTTGTAAAATTGTATTATTGATTATAAAATCATCTGGTGTTGTTTTCTAATAAAATTTTATTTATTCTTAATTAAAGTTATATAATAATTAAAGTTATATAACCATTAAAATATATATTATATTTTTTAAATATTATCCTAAAGTAAAAAGTCACACTGTTTTAACCTATTTGCAAGTATTGTTTTTACATGACTCGTGCAGGTGTAAGTCCACAATAAATTATGCCATTGGACATATTGATGACAAAACAAGATAGATTTAAAATCTATTTTAATAATGTTAATATGGTTTATTGTAATCAAAACATGTAATGCAAGAACATTTATATAAACTTAAAACAATATTATAGTACAACAAAATTTCAAATTGTTTTATTTGTCAATGAATATGCTACGACGAATGTTTTCAAAAAAATAAGAGATCTTAATGGGTGTTTACGACAATTATGGCTCCTGCACACAGGACGCGGTAATGCTTGCCGCGCAGCGAAAGTTCGCGCGACAGCCAATCAATATGCTGCTTTCCGTAATAACCTT